TTTTTTTTTTTTATTTTTATACACTGAAAGCCCTCTGAAATATGAACATCTTTGTGACCCTGGAGCACAAAACCAGTCATAAGGGTCAATTTTTTTTAATTGCGATTTCTACATTATCTGAAAGTTGATCTTTCCATTGATGTATGGTTTGTTAGGATAGGACAATATTTGGCCGAGATACAACTATATGAATATCTGGAATCTGAGGGTGCAAAAAAATCTAAATATTGAGAAAATCATCTTTAAAGTTGTTCAAATGAAGTTCTTAGCAATGCATATTACTAATCAAAAATTAAGTTTTGATATATTTACGGTAGGAAATTTACAAAATATCTTCACGGAACATGATCTTTACTTAATATCCTAATGATTTTTGGCATAAAAGAGAAATGTATAATTTTGACCCATACAATGTATTGTTGGCTATTGCTACAAATATACCCCAGCGACTTAACACTGCTTTTGTGCTCCAGGGTCACAAATTAACTGGGACCATGTATTCTTTGAAGTATACTATAGTATATGAATATGGCAATTCAGGACCATGGTATTATCAGGACTGGGCAAAGCTGTTACTCGGCGACCATAAACAACATACTAATGAATACTGATAAGACTAATGAACATTGCTGCATAAATTGTGATTATTAATATTTATCAATTATTAAATGTATTAATATTTTAAGAAAGCCATAAGCACTCAAGGACGTAGGCTACGTTACAGTTTTTACCAGAGTCAAAACACAAAGCAGAGTGTCTTACTGCTTTAAATCTCGGATGCTTAGCTTTTCAGAACTCAGTGGCCAAAACTTTCTACTGGCATGTTGATCACTTTTAATATTTGCATCGAGAGCTGCTCGATCAGTCATTGCTGATTTACTCCTGCGCATCTGCACACATCCGACCAGAGCAGTCACGGAGAAAAACCATCGCTGAAGATCCAGCTTGATGAAGAGCAGCACAGCTGTGATGTAAATCAGATTTGATATACATATGCATACAGTACATGCAGTCACGGAGCGAGCCATGCTGCCTCCTACAGGCCACCGGAGGAACTGACGCACAAATACAACAGACCTCCAACAAGTACTATGCATTACTCCAACACATGGAACGCTAAGCTTCTAAGGTTATAAACTTATATATGCAATCACTTGCTGTGATGTTTTGGGTCCAAATGCGATTTTAATGTCAAAAGCACAATCAATACCTATATTAAAAATCACAGCACACTCGAGTAATATCACTGAATTTGCGCAAAAACGTAAATATTGATATGTAACCTCATGAAAAAGTAATGCAATTAAACTTTAAACAACAACTAGTCATTATTCCATATAAATAGCAATGGAAAAAACAAAAACCTACTCAAAGTGACACACATTACGCACCATTATCAATGCATTTACACATATCGATTTAAACCTCACTAATGTCCCTGTTACACACACGAAAATCTATTGTTCAGACAGCTAAAACGACCCCTTTTAAGCTCCGTTTTGCATCCCTTCGGGCTACAAGAGAACCAAACCGGAGTTACATTGGAACTGATGGGCTTGTGTTGCATCCAAAATATGTCCAACGGGCTCTGAATCTTTAAAACAGACTATTTGCCGTCACGAGCAAACACAATTAGAGCTTATTAAAAGGACTCTGTTTCTGAGCAGCACGAGAATGCATGGCATTTCAATGCACTGGGAGCAAATGCAATGCACAGGCGTCTGATTTACTTATGCACGTGCATATCAGTATTATGAGGTGTGATTGACAGGTGCTGCCTCAGAATAAGCGCCAGAGAAATCCACACAATGCACAAATGTTCTGAAGCTTATACAACTTCAGTGAAGCAGCGCAACGTCTTTGGTTTGTTCGAGAGATTCATTAATAGCCTAAATCAATCATGCTAACGAACTGCACTCTTCAAAAATAAAGCTGCTTAAAAGGTGTTTCACAGCGATGCCATATTTCTGGTTGCACAAAGAACCATTCAGTTAAAGAACCATCTCTTTCTTAGCTTTTTATAATCTGAGGAACCTTCTTCTTTCGCTACAAAGAACCTTTTGTGAAACAAAAATAATCTTCAGATGTTAAAGGTTCTTTATGGAACCATTTAGACAAAAAGGTTCTTCTATGGCATCACTGTGAAGCACCTTTATGTTTAAGAGTGTAATGCGTTTCAGACAGAAATGCGTAAAGAGTAACTCATCTGAGCTCACATTCCCTCACACTCTCTTAAATGCATCATCAAATATCCTAATAGCTATTTCTCTAAAGAGTGGGCTATTAAAATGTTTATATCTGCGTTTAGGTTTCTAAAGAACTACCATAAATCATTTTAAGAGCGCAAACAGTGAGATCCGGACACAAACAGGTGCTATGATACAAACATCAACGCGACTCTCTCAAAGCTTGGGGTTTGCGGTGATGTTTCTAAATCAGAGCACGGAACCCGTCATTAGCGTTCCTCCGCTGCCCATCAAACTTTACGCGAGACTCCAAAACAAGCGACGCTCGCGCTCTCGGTTTAACGGAGCCCTCTCGCGACGATCGGAACCCATCCGAGGAAAAGCAGCAGCTCTTACCTTTAAACACCTGCGCTCTCGCGGACACCAGGACGCCGATCGCGGTGAAGAGGAACGCGAAAAGTTTGTCCATCGTGGCGGCGTCGGTACCGTGAAGCGCGGACTCCCGCGGGCCGGACTCTGAGCAGGAGCGGCTGTTTTGGGGAAGCTCTCGGTCACAAGTGTTTCTCCGGTTCTCCCGGAGCCGCGCGCGTGTGTGTGTTTGTGATTACCGGGCGGCGGGTGTGTTCTCCAGTAGAGGGTGTGTTTTGTGGGAGCTTTGACTTATTCTCCTCCCACTGAGAGCGACACACAGCTGGACACTCATTCACAGTGTTGGGGAGTAACTAGTTACATGTAACTAAATGTACAGATACTTATGAAAATGTTAATGATTACAAAGGGGTTGCATCTGAATTTTTATTTATTTTTTTTTTCACACACAGATTTGATTGATATCTTTCATAAATTGCAGCGACTGCTCTAAAATATGAGACACCAATGTTTCAGGAGTTTAGAACATGCTTATTCGATAACTCTTTTATTTCGTTAATGATTACAAAGGGGTTGCATCTGAATTATTTTTTTTTTTTTCACACAGATTTGATTGATATCTTTCATAAATTGCAGCGACTGCTCTAAAATATGAGACTTTATAAAGATTACTTTTTTCAAGTAACTAGTAAAGTAACGCATTACTTTTTAATTTACAAGAAAATATCCAAGTTACTTTTTTTTCCAGTTTATTGATTGACAGCTCTGGTGTTGCCATGGTGACAGAAATCAGAAGATGTTACTGTAGTTCTAAAATAAATAT